ACCACTACTTAGGTAAACAGAAGTGGTAATTTACCACTACTTATGAAGACAGAAATGATAATGTACCACTACTTAGGGAGACAGAAATACTAATGTACCACTAATTAAGAAGAAGTAGTAATGTACCACTACTTAGGAAAACAAAAATGATACTTAGGGAGACAGAAGTGGTAATGTACCACCACTTAGGGAGACAGAAATGATAATCTACCACTACTTAAGGAGACAGGAGTAATAACATACCACTACTTAGGGAAACAGAAATGATACTTAGAAAGACAGGAGTAGTAATGTATCACTACTTAGGGAGACAGAAATGATAATGTACCACTACTTAAGGAGACAGGAGTAGTAATGTACCACTACTTAGGGAGACAGAAATGATAATGTACTACTACTTAGGGAGACAGTATTGGTAATGTACCATTACTTAGGGAGACAGAAATGATAATGTACCACTACTTAAGGAGACAGAAATGATAATGTACCACTACTTGAGAGATAGAAATGATAATGTACCACTACTTAGGGAGACAGAAGTGGTAACGTACCAGTCCAGAAGGGGAGGGTAAATAAGTACCGTAGATAATTGATGTTGGATATTTGCAAAATGAGAAAATAGTCTTAAGATTTACAAGATATAACTGCAAGAAACAACGTTTGTAATATGTATACCAGTAATATTGTTATCGGGAGAAGATAAAAACAATCAACAGGTGGCAATTCACTGAAATTTTTTTTCTGCTAAAATTTTTACAGTAAATTTTACATTTTTGAATTAATTGGACCTATATTCAAACCCAAATTATAGAAAATACAATCAAACTTTTAATTCTATCACTGCCATTTTCAATTTCAGTGACTTTTCACCAAAAGAGACTTGAATTTATAAATTTGTTTGCATCAATTAAAGGTGGTGTACATTAAAAGAGAGGTAGTCTATGCATAAATCATGCCACAGACAAATTTATGAAATTCCCAGTTCAAGAAAAAAACAGAAATTTTAGGATTACAATGACTTTGTGACAATCAGGAGCATTCATAGCAGTAAAAACTTTGTGTTCCATGGTATTTTGTGATGACAGTGGTGATTAAATAGCTACAATACATATTCAAGTTTCAAATTCAAGTACAAAGACTTTAATTTATCATATATACTAAATGTTTTAATCATACTTACCTTGAAATTTTAATTAAAAATTAAAGAGGTCCCAATCACATCCAAGGGTACAAGTCTAGTGTAAAATCGACAACAATTGTATTCATACCCACCTGGAGAGTTGTCAGCCAACAAACAAACAAACAAATTTCCATGACTACGTCATGCCATTATCTCAGTTGAAGTGAATAATAACCCTATCACTGCTATAGTGAATGGTTATTACCTTCCACAAAATAAATAGTCCATGACCGTCAAAATCTAAGTACTTCAATACAAATTTAAATAATAAATTCCATCAAAATTTGAAATCGTTTATTCAAGGGGCATAAGCTTCTCACAATTTTTTTTATATTTTTAATTCCTGATATACAGAGGAAAAATTGTGTGTGTGTGGCTCAAGATTTAAATCTCTCAGCTGTAGTTCATTTAAAACATATTATGTTGTGCATCATTTTAACTCAGTTTTACATGAAATAAAAAAAAAACTTTTTTCAGATTAGATTTAATTTTCGCTGAAAAATTTTTGCTGGTTGTGTTATTTTCACGGATTTTTGATGAGTAATGTAAAATATAGGAAAAAAGGTATACTATTATTCACTGGATTTTATTTTCACTGAATCATCCCTTAACAGAACAGCGAAAATAAGTTGCAAGCAAAAATAAAGTATTTTATAGTAAGCAGAGGTTCCCATATAGGCTGCAATAGAAGATTATAGTTACCAAAAATTGCACTGTTTTATACTAAACCACTAGAATATTGCTTATTTTGACCATAGAAACATTTCTACAATTTTAAATAAGTGTATGCTTCTAACATAGCAAATAAGGTATAAAAAATTACCAAATTCAGCTTATTTGGTTATTCAGATTTGAAATTTTAGCGGGGACAAATCTTGGTAATTTCCTGTATGTACATCATTTATTTTTTTCAAATATTGTATATGTCAGTTCAGAACACTGAATGACACTGATACTACCGGTACTCCTGTCTGGAAATCTTCATAAATTTTTAATAATTGTAATAATAAGTAAAATCTTGTATCAAACTTAGATATGATCTGATTAAAATTTGATGCAGGTAGTGTCTTTGTTCACTTTTATTCCGTTTTACAGTGTGCATCCCCTCTTACTATATCTGACCATCTACCACAGCAAGTCATGCAGATTTCATCTCACGAATATAGCCTGCTTAACTAGAAAGCAGCTCATAACACCAGTTCTGGTTTATTGCTGTTCCTGTGGTATTGTTTGGTAACACAAGTTTCGAGCGGTTGCTGTACTTGCAATATCATCTCATAACACAAGTTCTGAAAGTGGCTGCTGTTCCTGTAAGATCATCCAGTAACACAAGTTCTAATTGATTGCTGTTTTTGCTAGATGTTTTGCGACACAAGTTCTGAAATAGTGGTTGTTCCTGCTAGATTGTTTCATAACCTATGTGCTGATTGGTTGATATTCCTACTAGCTTGTTCCGTAACACAAGTTCTGATTGGTTGCTGTTCCTGCTAGATTGTTCCATAACACAAGTTATGATTGATATTCCTGTGAGTTCTTTCCATAACACAAGTTCTGATTGGTTGATATTCCCGCTAGACTTTTCCGTAACACAAGTTTTGATTGGTTGATATTCCTGTGAGTTCATCCCATAACACAAGTTCTGATTGGTTGATATTCCTGTGAGTTCATCCCATAACACAAGTTCTGATTGGTTGTTGTTCCTGTGAGATCTAAACTTGATTTGTTGAGGTAGTTGGTCAGACATAATTATTATACTTACCAGTACATCAGGTTTGAGTCACACTCAGAAAGATATTTAGATTATAGTTGCTTACCTGATTTGGATCCTGATCCCGCTGTTGACACGTCTCTTTCTGTGTCTAACTTCTGAAAATAGAAAACCAAAATAACAAGTCAAAAAAAATAATTTGTACATTTTGTAAACAAGGAAAAACAAAAAAAACAAGGACAGAACAACATTCGCAAATACCTTTTAAACGATTTAATTGATTTGCTATCTCTATGAATTTCTCTGAAACAAGCAAATCATTTAAACTATTTGGTTTCTGTTAGTTTTGTAACAAACTATCAACCATTTAAATAATCTAAATTCTGATCCTGTCATCAACAAACAGTTTTTTAAATTGAAGAGTACAGTACATCAGGCTCTTTGCACATCCAACAAGGCCATGACACCAAACATACATCACTATGTTACTCAAAGACATATGAATCAAACCATTAACTCGGGATACAATAGTGTTGAAAAGCTTAACAAAAAGACATCATTAACTACAGTACGATCAAAGCATAACTTAACATTCAGCTGACGCTAGCTTAGTTTGTTTTCAAAACTGACACATTTCTAAATAAAGTTAAATTACGCCAGGACTGCACTCTATGTCACAATATAAGGAAACAGTTTTAAAATATTACGATAAATTAACAATCATGGGGCTATTTCACATCACAATAAAAACTTCATACATAATTGTTAACACTTATAAACTAAGGTCGAAGATTTTCAAAGTTAGCTTAGTTTGTTGTACATACTTTCTGAAAAATGTTGATCAAGATCTGTCAGAAATTTGAAAATATGTCCATTTGCACATCCAAAACTTACAAATAAATTACAGAAAAATACATACATGTAGAAATGTGAAAACAGGAATACAGGGAGTTTTGACTCAAATCAAAATGTTGAAACAAGTTTAACTGCATAGTAGCTATCTCTATAACCCCACTAGACAATTGAATAAAGAAACAGAACAGTGAAAGCAATGAACGTGCTGATTAAAAGATCGAGCAAACAACGGGTGCTCCGTTGTTGTGTATTCTCTTCAGGCTATCACAGGTATTGCTTACTCTTCTTTTGATACCAACATGTCCGATATGGTGAGTTTAAATTATAAGCAGTAAGTCATGGCGTTGCTATGTATATATAGCTACTACTTGATCGCAGCAGATGTGGTGAGCAAACATAGATAAAATGGGAAATGTTTAGATTCGCTTAGGTAAGTTGAAGGTGCCACAAAGGTTCAGTATATAGCATAAAGCTTATACTACCTGACAATGCTAGAGAGCTTCACAACAACATGAACACACACAAATCAAACTTCTACTGATCAACGGCAAATGTATTTTTTTGAGAACTCACAAAATATTACACCAATCCAGCTATGAAGTGACATTTTGATAAATGGTATTTTTAAAACTTTTTTGGTTTTAAATAGAAACTTTTAATCTTTTTTTATTTTTAATCATGAATCTTTCATTGCAGTCCCCAAAAAAGCTAACATTGTGGGGTAATTTTAACATTTAGCAGAAAGCATCTTTTACCTGAAATTAACTACTGTAAAATGACTAATTTTCACTGGGTTGCCCTTTCAGGCATATTCAGTGGATTTTAAATTCACGGTTTTATCATTTAGATAATGTGTTCTATGCACAATTTTATATATTCACTGGGTTTTAATTTAGCGCATTTTCCAGTTAGCGAAATAAGCAAAATTTAAAACCCAGTGAATAATTAACCCCTTTACAGTACATTATACTTAAAGAATATCATCAAGTATACTAAAAACTACACAGACTGATAAGTGCATTCCTGACTGCATAGAAGTTTTGACTTCGACAACGTACGCCATATTCAAACAAAATAATAAAGAAAGAGCAAGAAAATGACAAACCAAAACAAGTAAAAGTTATGTAAGATCAATATTGATTCATAGGGTGTTGATCTAACCATGATTTAATTGAAAATTTTACCCGAAACAGGTTCAATATATACCCAAGTGGGAAGTATAATATTTAGATTGGCGTTAAACACACACATTGAGTGTCGGTAATCTGTCTTTTCAGTTCTCATATCCCACCCCCAAACTTTTAGGAACCACTGCAAACATTGAAATAAAGACAGAGCTAAGACATGAAATTTGACAACTAGCAAGTACATCTGTATAGAAGATAAGTACCGGACATTTCAAGCATGAGTGATCGTGTTTAAAATTTCGTACATAAAAGAGCTTCACAGTCAAAGCAAAACTTAACGGTTTGAATGGCTTCTTGAGTGAAACAGCATGAAACAATACATTTATCAACACAGGTGACACAACAAGATAACAATATGCAAATTTGTTGCGGAAATTTTCTTTGATGCACCCACCAGCTGCTCTGTTACATCGACGTTTGACATTATGGGTACATCACGGCTCCACAGAAGACAACAAAAATTGGTAAAAAGTCCTCATAATGCATCAAAGTCTTGAGTGCCTCAATCACAATAAATGCCACATTGTTGAGCAAATAGGGATCAGTTTCAGTAAACAAGATCAGAAGAGAGCAGCCGACCAGCAAACATGCCCGATTTTTGATTATGTTGTCTGTAGCAACTAGGAACAGCAAACATACATCGAGTAAACTACGAGGCTACATAAGTACGTCAGCAGTAGGATGGGTGGTAGCTGGCTTTATTCAGCCCATCTTATTGTTATTCAAACAATAACAGTCTATTGTTGTCTGTTTTCTATAGCAAGGTTATAAATAGACAATAGTTGGGAAGAATAGTGTCCCATCATACAACAGGCTTAAACCTAACGGTCCTTATTATGAATAGCATGCCTTATAGTATCTTAGCGAGAAATATGCTTTCATTAACCAACAAGAACTTGACAATTTCTAATTTTTTGGAAAGACAGAAAAAATGTAAGAAACTACTGTTCATTCAAATATAAAAACCTTAATAAAAATGAAATGATTATAACAAAGTAAATGTATTGCAATGTAAAGTTAAAGTTCAAACAAAATAAAATTGGACGATCAGTAAAGAAAGACAAATGTGTTAGTGACAGCTTCCTGACAAGTGAAGGATAGATCAATATGAATGGTAATTCAACAACTTACCCACCCTTGTATTAGAATAAACAATTTATAAACGACTCATTAGTCTCAGGGCCGTGTGTGGCAATTCCCAAAGTTTAAATGTCAGCTCGTACTCACAGTTCGGCCATATCTTCCGTTTTCATGACGGGAAACAAGGAGAACTCATAAATGAGTGCTTAGTAGAAGACTGTGACTTTCCTTTTTTTTTTGACTGAAATAAAACTTGGCGCATAAAATATAACAAAAGAAAAACCTATAAAAGACAGGAACAATCATTTACAGTGCCCCTCCTTTATAACAAAGTGTTTAGAATCACAGGTATAGTTATTCATTCTTGTGATAAATACAGGACTTCTGAATGACTGCCTCCAACATGTCGACAGATATAGAGGCAAAGAAAGATATCACTAAAAGATTTTAACAAATGTTTTTAATCTTTTTCTAATCGATTAAATCTATTTTGAAACTACAAAACGTTTATATTAAATCTGATATATTTTTAAATCAATTCCTTTCACATCCTGGTCGGTCTCATGCTCAAGTTAAGCTCCTTATATGAAGTTGTACTGCCCTCTAGTGTTGGTTCTAATACTAGATGGTGACCATAGCAACCTTGGTGTTTACACACCTACACTCCACAGATTCAAGCCAGTGTCACTCACAGTTGGACCATGGAGAATCATAAATTGTTATATAGTGATAATAAAACCTCACTAGTTGTATATTCAATAACAATTTTTAATAAATAATGAAACAGATTGTCTTTAATATTCGCCAAGGTCTGTTCTCAGGAAGGGTACAAAACTATTTGACCATGCCTTAGTTTTTTTGTTTTGTTTTCTAGGAAACTTTCATAGTATCATGGTTAATTTGCATAACACTATAATATGTAAAACATCTCTATTGTTATGATAACTGAGGCCTGTCCAACTGTCCCAGACAGGCAGATTTTAGCTGGGACTGGTAAATATACAAATTGCCTGTCCCTTTGGACAGGTGGATAAAGATATAAAGTTTTGCTAACTGACCAAATGGGGTTGCTAATATCCAGAAAATTGCTTTCAGAATTGTTAAGACTTTTAAAATATCATGAGCCAATAATTAAAATTATATTTTAAATAATAAATCTTAATTTATCTTCACAGGTACATCATCAAATGGGAAAGGTACTTTCATTCACCAACCTGTCTGATAGATAGGCGACTTTAATTTTTAATTTCAAATCCTGTATTTGAAATGTTATTTTGTTGGCAAATGGTTTCATGAAAGTAAAGCGAAGTACATGTAAACCAAAATATAATATAATATACTTAGTCTTATATCTGACTTTAGGAGATCTGCCCCAAAACTGAATAAATATTCATTCTGCCCCAAAACTGAATAAATATCCAATCTGTCCCAAAACTGAATAAATATTCATTCTGCCCCAAAACTGAATAAATATTCATTCTGCCCCAAAACTGAATAAATATTCATTCTGCCCCAAAACTGAATAAATATTCATTCTGCCCTAAAACTGAATAAATATTCATTCTGCCCTAAAACTGAATAAATATTCATTCTGCCCTAAAACTGAATAAATATGCATTCTGCCCCAAAACTGAATAAATATTCATTCTGCCCTAAAACTAAATTAATTTGCAAGAATTTCTAACTGAATAGAAAATACAGCTCTGTACCAAAACTGAAAAAAATCAACATAACTTAATAGTGATCATCATTCAGTTTCAAAACTGAATAATTTGGCATAAAATAGAAATTACTAGGACTATTCATGTGGTATGACATAGATGCCTGCTAAATATAATAATAACGTGTTAAAATTATTGGAAATTAAAGCAATCAAACTTTTCACCAAAATTAGAGAATTAAAGATATCATCATGAAATGAACAAATCTAAGAGAGGTCTACCCAGGTGCACACATACCATTCAGGCTTGTAGTTTTCAAGTAGAAGTCGAAAAAGTAAAACATTGACACAGACGACGGTCGATGGACGACGACGGACGCCGAAGAACAATCACTCATATGTCGACTTTGTCGCGCAGAGCTAAAAAACCTTGCAAGGAATGTGCTCATTCTTTGCTTTAAAACTTATTGAATTCATGACATCATGTTTTATCAATTTGCAGAAATAATCTTTTACCACAATTTAGTCGCTCAGTGAATTTTTAATAACAAATATGAAAGGCTACTATAACCTGAAGTTTAAATATAATAGTGTAATTTGAAATGCTATTTTTGGTTTATGTCCATTTTTTGGAGATGCGCTTCTACATGAGCAAACACTTGATAAATTGATTTTTATCAAAATCTAACTACAAAGTCAGTTTAAATAATGGTGATCTGGTCGGTGTCTCCCCAGATTCTCTACATATTCATGTCACAAAGAAATTCATTGTTGCCGTTTATAGAAGCAACATCATATTGCATCCTGGCAACAAATTGTTTTCATTCGAGAAACAACAGAAATCTAGCCAATAATATCATATGCACTCTTCCTCATAGTACGCCAAGTGTAAGTTAACTAGCTGGTCCATTGCTAGGCGTATTATCTATTTGGTTAGACATGCCACTGAAAAAATACTCGTAACAAACAGCAACTCCCCAGAACAATAGAAAAGGACTGAATGGATGGTTTAAACTTTGGTTGCCTCGGGGGTAGAAATCAATCGTAAATATTACTCATTTCTACAAGAGTGACTTTTAAGAATGAGCGATATTTGTAGACGAATTCGTTATTTGTGTAATGATCATGCAATCTTCACAATAACGGTAAATCAATTAAATGGGCAGTCATGCTTAAGGGAAACAAGACAGAGTAATATTCGGTTGACTGATTATGATAGGTGATGGAAGATTGTGCTCGTATGCCATGTCATGGTCTATAACACTCGCGCCATTTTCTTTATACCATAGTCACCTTTACCTAGTTATTAAAACCTTAGTAACGTCCGTTGCTATGGTAAAGTGAAATATAACATATGATGCCATACAATGTATATTTATGAGCGAGCAGCGTTATATTACGTTAAAGTTACACCAACCATTAAAGACATATGGGGTTAAAGTCACACTATTCCCATTGGGGATAAAAAATAAAATGTCCATTTTAGTGCTAAATTATCTCTCAAAACATGTAGTTCCCATAAAAATAGAAAGAATAGAAAATATAAAACAGACTACTACAATAGTTGTCTTTTAACGATTGTCCAATCAAATTTGCATTCCACTGCGTAAATGATTGTGTCACTTTTTGTACTTTCCCATTCAGCACAAGGTAAAATACACTTCAATGTTTTTATTTAGAAACATCTGTTGGTGTTTGGAAAACATAATTTTTTGTATGCAAGTAAACTATTTAGATGAATACTATGTAAAGCCAAAATAAAAAAACAACTTATAAATATGCAAATTTTTGGCACAATAAAAAAATATTTCAAACTTTAGGGGCTATAAAGACAATTTTTTTTTGGAGGCTGTGGGAATGAGCTTCAACCAATTTATGATAACTTCTTGTCACATGAACATTGATCAAGGTAAACTGTAGTCATGTTAATTAGGTTATTGCATAATGAGATGAGAATATTGTGTTGACAGCTTCTATTCTCAGATAATTTGGACTCCGAAAGGTAACCTCTATTTTTGAATGAGTCAAGAAACAACTTTCATGATTTAAAAAAAAACATGCATATTTGTTGACCCTACCTCAATTTTGTTTCTAAATAAGCAACCTTACAGTAAATCGTGTTCGTGTCAACAATGTTGATTATGTTTTGATTATGTTATTTGTCACGGTTATTGTTATCACATAGCAGTTCATATGTTTGTTGCCATGGTGATTGCAATTGTTATCACTAAGTTACAAATTTCAAAGGTACCTACATATCAAGTATCAAAGTAATTTATTTGTGAAAGAGATGAATTTTACAGGTGAGAGAAATTTTAATTATCCGTAATATATACCCAATTTGGGAAAATGTCAGAAATGTAATGCTTTGTATTCAATGCAAAGCAGAAGTTGTCAACAGGCAGCAAAAAGGTTTGAAAACTACATGGCCACCACAACCATTTTGGAAGCAACTAAGAAACATTGGTAATTTTATTTAATATCAGTATATACACTTTTTCTTCAAAAGAATTCTTAATTGGTAAATTCATGTTAAAAAACTTTAAACAAAATACTGTGGAATACTTTATTTTCGCTGGAATTAATTTTCACCGAAAAGGCTTTTAGGGCGTTTTGCTTGGAATTTAGTTTCACTGATTTTTGATGAGTTTAATGTGAAATATAGGAAAAAAAGTATATTCGCTGAATTTTATTTTCACGGAGTCATCCCTTCAGCGAAAATAGCGAAAATAAATTCCAAGCAAAAATAAAGTATTCTACAGTAGTCAACATAGTACCAACAAAATCTTATGATTCATGTTTGTGGAATGCAGTCATGTAGATGGACAGACCATCTGTTTAAGACTAGAGTCAAAAGGTGACTACAAATTATGTTCAGCGAAAACAAATTCTAGGTTTGTTCAATCAGCTCTGTCTGATAGAGGGC